GAGAGAGAGAGAGAGAAAGAGAGAGAGGCTATTCGTTATTTTGTACCTTTTACAGGTAAAATTATTTTAATTGATAGTTTTTTAAATATCAAATGAAATGCTGTTCTTGCAGGTCCCAAGAGACAAGGAAGAACTTGCTTGGCTCCAGGGGAGAATCAGAAAGTGCTTCCCAGTTGACCTCTACAACAAAACGTGCAGAGAATTGGATCCAAACAGGATTCTTTCGAATCGCATGCTTGAGAAGCTCTTCCCATCTGCTACCGAATGAGTCTCTCAAAGTTAAGTATTGGACTCCCATTCGAAGTCTCATCTTCATTTCGAATTTGGGGTTTTTGTCTGCTGTTATTTTGATGATTGCCCCTTTGCCTTGGGAATAAAAGCCCCTCTCTATTTTCTTCAATTTGTTCATTAGCTCTTTTTTAGCCTATTGCAACCCTTTTATAAGGCAATCAGTAAAATAAAGAGTTACAAGAAAGTTGCTTTGCATCTCTCAGTCCAAGTGACACTCGAAAGGTTGGCATCAAGGTGTGTAAAATGATGGAGAGTGAGTTTTGTCTCCTTGTGAATGAGTGTGAGATCGATGAATGCAGATGGATATACAGAGATGACCAACTTGTTTACAGTTTAGCGATTCAAATACTGTGCTTGTTCATACATCATTGTGGAATGTGAAATATTTAGGCCCTGCGGCCTGATTGTATGATGGCTTATGAAGTTGGGTACCATTATTTTTTGAAAATTAACATTCATTTCCTTTTGGGTTAAATCATATCCTATTGATTTAGGGAAAAAGTTTATATAAGGATGCAACCTTATAATGTAGAACTACGGATGCTCCTCAACAATCCATTGGAAAAGGTAGTTTTAATGTTGAAACACCCTTTGATCGATCATCTCGACATCAAGATGTATGACTATGAAAAATAAAAAGATTTTAAATCTAAAAAATAATGTGTTTTACAATATTATCTACACCGTCCATTTTCAAGATTTTCATGTCTATGGATCTACTTGATTTTAATCATTTTTGAAATTTAAAATTTTATAATTAGATATAAAAATAGATTTTTAGATAATCCTAAGAACATTTGACATCAAAATTATATATATGATAAAATTTGAAGGTGCACCTTACCTTTACACCTACGGATGCATCCGTACGCCAACTGGACTCTTAATTTAGAGGAGTAAGGAACCTTCTCGATGTAGGAGGTTCTCGGCATTCACAAACATTCTCTCTCACACATACGCACATGTGCCATTGGATGATCGAGTTTGTTGCTTTTATAAACCTGAATCTCTCTCTCTCTCTCTCTTTGAACCACCATTGAATGATCGAGTTTGTTCCTACTATGAAATTGGTCATCAAACCAAGAATATGCCTATACATCTAAGTTGAATATTTTAAGTTGGATTTGTTATATCATAGAAACTAAGGAGACGATAAATATTAGGGATTGTATACAATGAGACTTTTTACCTTTGGTATAATGAGATCACAATTAGTTATAACTATTCGATGTGAATTCTGATAGCATGTGTGTCATGAAGTTTGAAAAAATTTATTTTGAACTTTTGAGTTTGGTCAATGAAATGAATGCAGCCACCTAATTTTACATCCAATGGTCAATATTAGTTGTGACTAATTTATACTAAAAGCAAATGGTCTCAATATATATTATTAGGACATGATTTTGGTGAGTCAGCAGACTCATCTATTGTTGTGTGGTCTCATTCATCAAATGTCGATCTCTAAGATGGACTCAAAAAACAGTGCATCCACAAAGTTAAAATGAATGGTGGATGTTTTTAAAAAAACAGTATTTATATTTTTTTTAAAAAAATAATTCCACATTCATAAGCATCGTAATAGTTGAGATTACCAAATCTGAAGTTTTGAATCAAATTTCTATCTTTGAGATGATTTTAAAGGAGACTGCACAACCATAGGTGTGAGGCGGTTGACTCACACATATTTTATTTTTTTGCTTGTAATATAAGGTTTCGTTTTTTGAGGATGATAAGATGCAATTTATCATTTTTGTCACAATGTAATGTTTTGTTTTTGTTTTTGTTTATATATATATATATATATAAAAGGTGCGGTTTCTATAAAGTTGCAACTTTAAACAACCGAATTAAGGCGTACCTTAAAATTTTATCATAACATGTAATTTTGTTTTTGATGTAAAAAATTCTTAGTATTATCCTAAAATCTATTTTCATACCTAAGTAGAAAATTTTAAATTCCAAAAATGGCAAAAATCAAGTAGATCTCTAAATATATGAAAATCTTGAAAATAGAAGGTCTAGATAATTGTTGCAAGATGCACTATTTTTGGGACTCAAAAAGTTTTTTTTTTTAATATTCATATATTTCGATGTCGAAATGATCGACTAGAGTATTTTGTCAACATTAAAACAATATTTCCGACATATTTTTGAGGTGCATCTGTGATTCTACATTTTTAAGATTACAACTTTATATAAATTTTTTCCATATATATATATATATATATATATATTGTGAGAAAGTGGGGAGAGGGCTCTTTGGTAGGAATTGAGTTTAGGACGTAGTGTTACAAGGAATTGAGTTTAGGACGTAGTGTTGCAAATCGTCAAGCATTAACCCATTAAGCCGAAGGTCCTTTCCTATTTTTGTGACATGGAGTAGGTTGGTTTCCTTGCGCGTACAAAGGATGCAAATAACTTTTATAGGATTCCTCCTGTGGGCAAACGACTTTGGAGGATGGTTTTTCGGAGCTACTCGGGAGGATTTTCGTGATTTAAAAATTTGTGATTTATTTGAGGATTTTCAGATGAATATTAAACAAAAAAATGGTTTTGAGTTTCTAAATACTTAATTGTGTTTAAGACATTATTTTAATTGTGTTTAAGACATTATTTTCTTTTGCATGTCTGAAAAAACTGTCGTTCGGTTGTCACACGAAAATGCATAGTGATTTAGATTATTCTTTCGGCCATCTTTCTTTCATACTGTTTATTATTTTTTTACAAATGAATCAAACTAGAATTTTAAGCTTGTCTACTTATCACTATTATTACACTAGAAAAATATAAAAAAGTATTTTTAAGAATAGAAATGGGCCAAAATAGCCCTACACCATTGAGGGTATTTTGGTCATCTTATTTATTTAAAATTATTATTTTCCAAATGAGGTGCACAGATTCAAACTTTTAGCTCAATCACATTTGTAGCTAAAAATAAAATTCAAATAGTAACATACACTCGCAATTGTTCAATCAAAGATTGGACAACTATACTATAATTCAAATCACAATTATCTAGGTGCCACCATCCTCCCCACATATTCAAAATTTTAGCTCAATTTCTTTTTTTTAATTTTGCCAAGCTTGTCAGTTGCCATAAGACTTTTCTTGTGAACCATAGTAGGAATTTTAATCTTCCTAATTCCAAGCATAAGCAGGTTGCTATCACAATCACTAGACAATATTTGTCTTTTATTGATATTAATCAATGTGCATCCGGGCAAAATTTTCCTTATGATATAAGGAGACATAAGATTGATCAACTATTTTGTGATAGTATTACAAGTTCTAGAGCATCAAATATGTTTTTTTTTTTTCGAGAGTGAAAGTTTGCAATAGTTCTGAAAATAATAGAGAACTTATTTACTGAGGAAATAGGATTGCCTTTCTATAGAGAAAGTACCGTTTTCACCTTCTGTTCAATGCACTTGTTCGATAAAAAGTTTCGACTCTTGAATTCTCAGTTTCTAACTATAAAAAAAATGGTTTATAGTTCCAACTGGATGCGCACCAGTCATATGGTTCCAAGATTCATCCCTTGTGCTCTAAGACCAAGGAGAAAGAGCATATGTGGAGCATGCATGCGTATATGAGGGTCATTCTACACTTCGCACCAAAAGAGGTATGGAATCCAGAGTCATGGGCGTTGAAGCCCTCTGGCGGTCTCGGAATCGATGTCCAATGGTCACTAGTTAGAAGATGTGATGAATTACTGTTGTGTCCCTGCGCCTCCTACTGGGCATTCTTTGGAATCCAAAGAGGTATCCTCCTATTGGGCACTCTTTGGAATCCAAAGAGGTATCGATGTCCAATTGGAATCTTTGTACACTATGGTTAGGTATCCTCCTATTGGGCACTCTTTGGAATCCAAAGAGGTATCGATGTTCAATTGGAATCTTTGGACACTATAGTTCGAAGATATGATGAATTTTACTCGCACGGGCATTTTTTGAAGCCCATGCGAGTCATCCTACTGGGCATTCTTTGGAATCCAAAAAGGTATCCTCCTCCTATTGGGCACTCTTTGGAATCCAAAGAGGGTATCGATGTCCAATTGAAATCTTTGGACACTATAAGTTTGAAGATGTTATGAATTTTACTCGCTTGAGCATTTTTCGAAGTCCATGGTATCGATATCCAATTGGAATCTTTGGACACTAAAGTTCGAAGATATGATGAAATTTACTCGCTTTGAAAGCCATGCGAGTTATGGGCGTTGAAGCCCCTGCCTAGGCCTATGCAGGGAAACATTGCGCGATTTAGATTCCACACCTTTTTGGTGCGAAGTGTATAAAGACCCTCGTATATACATGCATGCCATGCACATGCTCCACATATACACTCTTTTTTCTTGTTTTAGACATGGATGCCGTACGCATGCTCCATGTATGCTCTTTCTCCTTGGTCTTATAGCACTAGGGATGAGGATATTGTCATATTTAACCGTGACTTTTTCTTTCTCCATTTTTCAATGTCGGATAAATAACTTTTATTTTTTTGGGATTGTCTACAAACGTATCATTTATCTTTGTTACAAGATCACAACTATTCCCACTTATTAAAGGTCAAATTTGACGGTTTGGGGTGGGTCACAAAATATAAGATTTTTTTTTTTTTGGAACTTTATGTCTATTCAAAGACACTTTTACAACTAACCATTTTGAAATTTTAGTGTCAAGACTACTTGTATAAAAGGTAAATGTTATTTTTGTATATTTTTCTTAGGGCGTGGTTTGTATAGAGCGTAAGCTCTAAACAATCAAATTAGAGCCTACTTTTAAATAGTGTCGAGAAATGTGGTTCCAATACTGGAAATCTTTGTTATAGCCTTAAAATATATTTTTATATTTATTTATAAAGTTTAAACCTTAAAAAATAGTGCAGATCGACAAATCTATGAAAACTTGAAAATCTTGAAAATTGACGCTAAAAAAATGCATTATTTCCAAAACTTAAAATCAAATTTTTTCATATGTCCATGCATCTTGATGTCGAGATGATCAATTTGAAGATTTTAAAACAATCTCATGTAGTGAAATTTTTGAGAGAGGCTCGAGTGTGATTGTTTAGAGCCTTAGCGCTATATAAACTTTTCCCTTTTTCTTATGGGTGCAGTTGGCATCCGTAGGTGTCGAGGTAAGGTGCACCTTCAAATTTTATCATGGTACATAATTTTGATGCAAAATGTTCTTAGGATTATCTTAAAATCTATTTTTATATGTAATTATAAAATTTTAAATTTAAAAAATGGTTAAAATCAAGTGGATCTATAAACATATGAAAATCTTGAAAATGGACGGTGTAGATAATATGTTGTAAAATGCTCTATTTTTGAGATTTAAAATCTTTTGATTTGTCATTGTCATACATCTCGATGTCGAGATGGTCAATCAAAGGGTTTTTCAACATTAAAACTACCTTTTCCGATGGATTTTTGAGGGGCATCCATAGTTCTACATTATAAGGTACCATCCTTATATAAACTTTTACCTATTTCAAAATAACATCAAGTATTTTTTAATTTTTTTTGAACGTATAACACCTAGTATTTTTCATGGCTGAAGTACAAGAATCCTTTGATAATCAACGCTTAACTAGAGAGTTTTAATGAAGACCGATGGTTGCTCAGCCTTGCTTATAAGTAACAATATATAAACCATTTCCTCTATGCATGGAAGCAAGAGTTACAATTCAGCATTTGGACTAACAAAAGGTTTACCATAATCCTAAAGACCACCATGAACACATAGTTCTTAGGGTCACCATCGTCATTGCAATTATGGAGAGGGATGAAGAGGGAGAGGGGAATTCCATTTGGGTCATGCATCATCTTGTTGAGATCCAGTGTCGTTGCCGTCCATCATTTCAATGGGTGGTGATGACCCTAAATAATACAGTTTGCCAGATGGTTCTTGATTATGGTATAGCAGGCATTTCCCAAACAAAAACAAGAAGCAAACAGACACTAGAAAGGAATTAAAATGCAGTTGTTACAATCAGAAGTAGCTTGATTGGTTCTGTAAAAGCTCGAGATGAGCCAAGATCTTGGCAGTCAATGATTTCATCGCTGGATCGCCCTTTTGTGCAAGATCAATGAAAAGAACCTGAACAGGATCACCGTACTCCACTCGATACTCTTCGATCCTGAAAATTCTCTCTAATATCCAGACAGCTTTCTCTTGAGCTTTCAAACTTCCCACTCTCAAAATCTCTATAATGGGTTGCACCCCTGAAGCTTCGGCTATGGTCTGGCACCCTTTTTCCCATGTTTTGTCCTGTAAAAGAGTAGACAGAGCCCCAAGAACAGCCTCATCAGCTTCTCTTTCTCTACCTTCCAAAACCCGAACAAGAAGAGGGATTGCACCGGCCTTGATAAGGCACAATGATCCCTTGACTGAACATGTACCACCATGAACTTTACATTCCCTCTCTATTGAGGAGGATCCAATACATGACCACATGTTTGCCTTAGAATTACTCAAGGAGAGAGAGTTTTGTGATAATTGCGCTAATGCCGTTGCAGCTCTTGCCTTGGCCACACAAGATCCACTTGAGAGAACCTTCACAAGTAAAGGAATGGCTCCTAGCTTAGCTGCTTCTCTCTGTAGCTTTTTATCCCAAGGGACGGTGAATCGAACTAGAGTGCTCACTGCTCTTTCGACCAAGAGAGTATTCATTGACTCGGTCTTAATTAAAGTAATCATATAGGGAAGAAGGTGAGCCTTTACTAACACATCGGTTGCTTTTCTATCTGTGATGGGTATATTACTCACTATACCAAGAGCTGCAGCCTTTTCATCCACACAACCAGATACCAATGCGATATTCACTATGGTTTTGAGGTTCCCCTCGCCTAGTTGATTATTTAGCTCTTCTGCTGAATCTAGAGAAAGAAAGTATAGTAAGTTCAAGCCACCTGTTTTGATTTTAGTGTCACTTGCAGTTAAGAAAGGCATGAGAAGTTGGAGAGCACCGTTTTCCCTCATCTTGGACCTCAGCTTGGAAGCACTGGGATGGCTGGTTATGTTGGTTAGAGCTCGAAATAAGTGATATTGGACTGTAGGGCTCGACAAACTTAATAGAGAGAGAATTTGCTCTGTCACGTGGTGGTTAGTGAGAACTTGTTCGGATTCTGAAATGTTTGCAAGTATTGCAGCTGCAGGCTCTCGGAGAGTCATAAGAACAGATGTGACAGAGAATAGAAGTTGGAGGATAGGTCCCACAATGGCCGAGTCAATAAGGCGACGAGCATTTGAGGTCAAGGTTGATAGGTTCTGTAAAGCTCCTAACGCTGCCAGCTTCGCTTCGAGCTTACCTGAATTTTGTGTTTTTAGTCAGAAAGATGGGGGGGGGAGGAGGGGAGAGAGAGAGAGAGTTTGATTACCTGAAATGAACAGTTTGACAAGTGGTTCAATGGAGCCTTCTTCTCCGAGAGCAGCTTTGCTTTGATTGGTGAGTTCCATTCTAGAAATGGCAGTAGCCATAAGAACCCTATTCATATCAGATCCTGAAGAGAGAATGATTCAGAGGAAGATGTAACAAGTGGTCTATGATGGTCACAAGAGCAGCACAAAGTAGCTTTAAGCATGCCAAAGCATTTTATAATGGAAAATTATATCAAAGTACAGCAGACTATGGTATATGATACTCTAAGGCTACACCTACCGTCCCTTCTGAGTGATGAACTGTTGGAGATTGGTTTGAGTGGGGTCCATAGGGTCATTGCCCTAGTAAATTAAACCATCCATTTCCAAATGAAAAAGGACAGGGGATTATATAATTTGGAGTACAACGTCTCTTGGACTGTGATTCCTTTCCATTAAGGGAACACGTGAACATGATCACAAACATAATGAATGGAGACTTAGCTTGCCATGACATTAAATGCCAAACGTGCACTAGGAAAAGTAAATAATGGTGAAAAACAAGTAGTCAATTTAGGGAGAGGATACCATAATCTAAGGACTAACAAAAAACCGTAATCTTTCATCCATTCAAATGGATGGAGATGGAGAGAGCGGGACGACCAGAACATGACACGTGGTGCGTTCCACTCTCTCTCCATCAGCATTCATTATGTTGAGGAATGACAATGACCCCAATGACTGTGATTTTCTATAACCCTTATGACTATGGTTTCCTCCTGCCAATTTATATACATTTTAAGGCTCTGTTATATTGGTCCAACATTCCCAAAAAGGAAGGGACTTATTTATAAATAAAGGAAAAACATATTTTTTTGCCGAGGTACTAATGTTTTTTTCGCTTTTTTGACACGCAAAGTGACAAAAGTCTGTTCCCCATCACTCTAGGAGCAGATCAAGCAGGCTATTTTCCATTCCTAAACGGGTGGAGGAAAAATATCGCCCTGTTCCCAGAACTTGGTCCATCCCCTAAGTTCACATGCATCAAGATACATAACATAGGCAGGTTCCAAGGCAAATGGATTTGTATGTACACGTCAGCGTTCATGAACTTCTTAGAGGAAAATTTGAATGCTTGAAAGGTCAAGCCTGGGTGCATGAACAACGGTTCACCTAATGATTTCCACGGCTGTTCTTTTGTTGGAAAACATGCTTAAAAGAATTATGAAAGCAATTTTCTGTATGATTATTATGCCCAAACATAATGGAGGAGTCTTTGTCATATTTCATTTACTATGTACACGGAAAAGGACAATGAGGCACTTCAGTCAATTCATCCGGTGTCTTGCCTATTAAGAATTTGCATTCAAGGGGAGTCTAACAGAACTCAGGGTGTCACATGCAGACCTTCCAATTGTGTAAAACCTATATTAAAATAGAGTGTGACCTGAAAGTCATATTGTTTCTCCCAAAGCATGAAAGAAAACTCTCGATGTCATACTTTACAGGCACAGGAACTACAATAATACTTTAGAATATGTAAGATAGACAAACTGCAGAACAAAAGAGAATGTAAGCGTCCATCATGAATTAACGTGTCACCAGGACTTTGTGAATATGCATGATTATACTTAACCACGCTTTTTGTGAAATACCACAACCTGCTATGCACTAATGGATGTTGGAATAATCGCATTAAAAAGGTTTCAGAAATTTACAAAAGCAGGTAGATGCATACTGTGTCAAATACATCCATATGCAAGCATGGGGGTTGATTTGAGGACTAGTTAGTAGGGAACCATCCTAGCAATCTACGTGGAAGCACACTTAAAATAGTCCAGATGGGTTGTGCACAGCATACAGCATATATTTAGATGCACTTGCAAGATGCTTTGTTGTTTCATCTCATGATAATAAAAAATATATGAGACAAGCGGTTGATAACTCGCCACATTGTATGCATGTTTAGCCATCCGAATAAACAGATGCCATGGCAGAGACACAGTGCAGTTGAATATTTAACAGAGAGATTGCAAGATAGTATTGCAATCATCGGATGATTTCTCACAAGGGACAAAGTCAATATGACTTCAATTGAAGAATATCATAAAGAAAGAACGAATGGAGTCGGTTAGGCGTATTTGTATATAACATAAGCCACTGCAAGGCTAAAATGACTATTCGACTCATTCCTACGGTTAAAAGAAAACACAGAGGACCTTTTAGAATATTTTCTCCTTGTTATTTTTTCTGTCTTGAACATTTGTTTAATTCCATTTATATCTTTGAGGCTTAAGGGAACCTTTGTCCATGTAGAAGGGTATTATATTGATGCAGGCTGATTACGTGTAACAAACTTTAGGGCTGAAGTTCAGGCCTTTAGAGGCATCCTTTAGACTAGTTTTATGGGCAAAATTAGTGAAGCAATTTTTAGCGTCTAGAGCTTATGCTGCCATTCCAAAAATGGGATCATAATAACAATTTCTATATAGGTGTAAAACGGTATGGTTTTTCAAAGTTAGGTATTGCTTTCAGGGTTACTAGGATGAGTTTTCTTACTTCATTTTCTCAAGGGAAAAAGCTTCAAGGTCAGATTCAATTTTAATTAGGAGGTCTAATTACATTAGATTTAGGTTAGAAAGTCCAAATGAAGTTTATAAATAGGGGTTGTATTGTTTTTGAAATCGATTTGACTATTTCATAATATTGTTCTTTGGGAATTCTATTGAATTCTAGCTATTGAAGCTAGGCTTATTATCTCTTTTTCAATTTTCAATCAAATTTTCAGATTTTTTTTTTTGTCTTCTTCGCATGTTCCGATTTGCATCATATATAAGCTGCTTTGGAGGCATGAGAGTTAACGAAAAACTGACTGGTTTGCATGTGCCACCTATAGCTATGCTAAAACTCTATCATGATCTCAGGTTGATTCCTACTTACAGTCTGTTCCTTCCCCCATTATAGAGAAGAAAGACAAACAAATGCAGCCACGCTTGACAGGTTTGGGAACCTATCCTGACAGACTCTCAGGTAAATCGATGTAGAGGGCGAATCAACCCACATGATCAGATGGTTCAACTAGAGGAAATATCATATACTGGCAGAAGCTACAAATTTAGATGATAGGACAACCATTCTGATGTCCTTCTCCCTCGCTCATTGTTGACTTGTTTTGTCTAACTAGTTTTTTTTATTTTTTTAGTCTCAGCTTAAACGGAAAAAAAGAAAAAAAGAAAAGGCAGCTTTGGTTTTTCCATCTTTTGGGTGCTTCTATCTGAAATCCTCATAACTGATGGTAATTCCTCTAATTATGAAAATACAAAAAAGAATAAATGTGTAGAACATTGAGAAGTTCCAAGAATATTTAAGAAAAAGAGCAGAAGACTTCATGTTCCGTTTATAAATTAAAACCCATTCAACAGATCATCTCCTTATAATATGAAATTCCAAGGAAATATACGTGGTGCACATAAATTAGACAAATATTGACTTTCTCCATTTGGTAAAACTGAGATTTATACCAACCGTAAGGAACATTTGATCCCCAGTGTAAAACTTCCAGGTTTCAGTTCTTTCCTTGACTTGCACTAACAACAATGCATGTGCGACATGGCAAGTTGGAAATAATAAATGCTCTTCTGATATGTACAGAACATGTCAAGGATCTGATCCATTCCAAAGTGGATATCCCACTTTTGAGGCGTCCAAGTAACATGAATCACAGTTACCATTGTTTAAACTTATTGAGGAGTTTCCATAAGTATGGTATGACAAGAAAAGAATAAGAAAAGTGTAAAGCATCCATCTGCAAGTAGGTGTTCTATCTAAAAACAATGGAAACTAATGGTCCAAATGTTTTCTTACTAGAATTATTATTTACAGTTTTTAAAATTTATTTATTTATTCATATTCATGATCTCGATGTTAGAGATTACATGTCCTTAAAAATTAAACCTTAAAATCCATCTCAAAAATAGATTTATTAAAAAACCCGCATTTCTACATATGTGGGCTTGGCCGCATAAAAACCGGATCCATAAAAAAATAACCACAACAAAAATAAGCAAAGAGAGAAAATTCATCGGCTTATAACTACAGAACATGAAACATGGGGGGAAATAATACAATAAGCCCATTAGAGAGTATAAGGCTACCTTCACGGAGGCACTGCACAAGTGGCTTGAAGTAATTCGCCTCAGCCATATGAAGCACATGCTGAGTGTTGCTTGATAAGATATCAAGGAGCCTCTTAGTATCAAGGACTGCACAAGGGTCATCACTGTTCAACATGGCAACCACCAACAAAATGCAACCCTGGACTCTGCCGATCCTTTGACGAACTCTTGAAACGTCGGATAACTCCAAAAGAAGCCCAACTGCTTCCCTTCTCTCTTCTGCATCTCGCGTCAATGAGCGCACCACTAAGGTCAATGCCCCATCATCTGCAAGCCTTTCCTGGCCACTACAGTGTAAGAATATAACTTGATTGACATTAGAGATGGAAAATTGCATTCTAAGTCTCAGTAACATTGTTATACTGATTTAATTTAAATAAAAAGACACTTTGGATTCATTATATGGAAATTAGGCTCTGAACCTGAGCTCCATGTTACAAGGATTTATCCAAAATAAGAAAAAGGAAATAAAGTGTCTTAACCTACCTTATTATCATCATTCTTGGACACAAGAATTCTCAGGATCACTAGGATCATTTTCCTGATGTCTTGCTTCTTAGAACTCAAACGTTTTGCTAGAATAGGAATGAGGTCTTCGACTCTTACTCTTTCTTCATCTAACAAACTTCCTTCAATTAGTTTGTGTAATTCAGACAGGGCTAAGCTTAAATCCTCATTTCTACCATCGCGGATGATCAGGAAAATTTCATCCAATCCTCCATGAAACTTTTTCTCCTGCAACCCATCACTAGAATGCAGTGACACAGTGGAGTTCCTGTCGGGACTGCCTAAGCTATTGAAATTTTTATCCTTTAATAAGTCAGCCTGTTCTAGAAATTCAATTATTCTACGGAGATCCATTGCTTCTATCTGGCCCTTATGGACTGGTGCATCTGCATTTTTCTTAAGGTTTTCTATCTCTTGCCTAAGCATTGCAGGTTCAGGCAAAACATCCACATCCTGGGCTATGGTGACTAAGAACTCCTCGGCATCGATTTTGTTGAACCTTCCAGACTTGATTCCTTCTATCATCTCTTCAATGAATTCTTTGTCATCAAATAATTGATTAAATTTAGCATTCAGCATTTCCTTGTGTGAATTTCCAATCTTATTCTTGATTTCATTCGAAACGTCAAGAGAAGCCATTAATATTAGGCTTAAACATCGGCCGAGATCATGTGTTAAGTCCTTAAGCTGGTTAACAATGGCTGAGAAATTAAACCATAAGTAGAATCGGCTTCCCGACTTACATAATATGGCCAATCCTTGAGCCTTTTTAAGGTCTTTCTCAAGGGATTCAAGAGCCTTTCGTATAGGTTGTGTATCCATTTCTTTATCATCCTTTAGTTCCACTAATATGGGAATAATCTTCTTCAGATAAGCAGCAAAATCAGATAATATCTTTGGTCCAATCACAGAGTCCTCTGTGACTAAAGCAATCTCATCAATTAACTCTATTAGTCTTGACAGAACATCAGTGAAGGAGGGAGAAGGTGCAACTTCAAGCTTACCTTGAATCATACCTCAGACTCTGATTATTGTTATAAAGTGAGAATATGATATAGTGGGTAATGGGTTTCTTCCCCCGTTGATAGAGTCAGAGGCCACAATTGTCACGATGAAGTCAGAAAACCCATTAAGAAGTTTCAGTTTTGGATTTGATATTACCCACTAAGTGTTCCACCTCTGAACCCAATTCAGAGCATGTTGCCTGTTCCTTTCATATGGGGTGAAAAAGTTCCTGGACATAGAGAAATTTGATGCTTCTTTTACTCTGAAGTAGCTCAAAAACCAATTAAACATGAGTTAAATCCAACTTAACTTTCATCTTTGGAACCCAATTCTCAGCAGAGTCAAACCCAACTCAACTCCCAATAGAATCGATAGAAGCAAGTAGTTTGAGATTACAATATGAAGAGAATACTTACTGAAGCTCGTATACTTAATCAAAATGAAAGTTTGAAACGAGACCCACCAATTGTTTCGCCGATATCAACTCGATGGTACAATTTTGTTATGAGAAAGGAGAAGAAGGAAGCTCTGGAATTATCAGAAGAGGAACAGAGGCCTTGGACACAAGCGAGAGAACAGTTGCAGGCCAAGAGCGAGTTTAAACGATTTTAAATGATGGTGGGTGGGTAGATATTTACGTAGTGGGGTCGCTTAGTACATGGAAGCAGATCAAAGACCTGTTCTGATTCTTGTTTTCACTCGACTCCCATGGTTGACGCGTTCATCTGATTATTGTTCTCCCTCTCCCTCTCTCTCTTCCTATTCTTTTGTTCACTCGACTCCTATGGTTGACGTGCTCATCTCATGTAATTCTTGGTTTTCCCTCTCCGCAAACAGCTTATTATGCTATAATCTATATTTTTTTTCTCTCTCTCCAAACAGTTTATCATGCTATTATCTAGATATATTTCTCTCTCTCTCCAAACAACTCATCAAGTAATTATGTTATAATATACATGGAAAAAGCTAGCCTAGGTCCATTAGCTCACAGTTACATATGAGCTTAATGACCCAGATTCAATATGAGACGATCTAACGGTCATGACTATGTTTATATTTAAATTTTAATTTTTTATACAAATCCAAATCACCTGAAAATTTGAGCATGCGTTATTAAAAAATAGGATAATCTAATAATTTTTTTTATAATAAATAAATTGACCAAAATACCTACAAAAATTTGTAAGGGTATCTTGATCATTTTATTTATTGTGGATTTTTTTAATATCTTATTAGGTGTGCCTTGATGAGAAGAATAGGTGCCTCAAATTTCATGTGAGAAAAAAAATTAAAATTAAAATATGAAATGAAGTCGTGACCGTCAAATCGACCCATATTAAATTTAGGCCTTTGATCTATAAATACATCATTTGTCTATATACATTTCACAATCACTCTTGTCCTTTGAATTTCAAAATGGGCAGTTGTAAGCGTGTTATTGAATAGACACAGTTCCACATAAAACAATTATCGGACTTCGTAACTCGTTATCTATTTGGACATCTAATATATAGGAATGATTGTGAACTCCATGTATAAAACATAAATGGTGTCTCCGTAGACAATCTCTACTGTAATCTATATACTTGATGAATAGAATTTCGGATACACTCAAATTTTAGCCGAATGTCCTTTTGTAAAAAACGGAGAAATATATAAAGTTATAGGACTCTTATCAAACATAATTTTTTAATAAAAAACAATATTTTTTATAGAGCTGCAGTCCTATCAAAACAAGTAAAGCCCCACCTTAAAACTCAGTAAAAATTGTAGTTTTGGTATCGGAAAGCCTTCAAATTGGACATTTCGGCCTTGACCTTATCATTGCGAAAGAATCAGGATATAAAAAATACTGTACATTGTAACACATTATCTAGATCATCTATTTTACCTTAAAAATAAGTGTTCACATATAAGCATGATTTCTATATATATTTTTTCCTTTAAATTTCATCATCATTATTAAAACTGATTTTAGAGTCATCGTGAGAATCTCTGATACCCAAAATATTTTCCACAGGGCTCTACTTCGTTTTGATAAAGCCCATGCCTTTTAAAACTGCAAACTACATGAGGTACAAAATTGCTCAAAATTTAGCCAAACCACTACTTGTATAAAAAAAAACAAAAAAACAATAAAGAAGAAGAAAATAAAGTAGGCATAAGGTTGCAACCTTATAATAATCTTCACCGTCCATCTTATTTGGATGGCATGGATTTGACACTGTTTTAAAAGATGCGTCACTTTTTTATATTGTTTTAAAAGGTGCGTCACTTTGATATTGTTTTAAAAGATTCGTCAATCCACAATGCCCAACAAACGGTACAAATTTTTTTTGATATAAATACTATTTGTAGTTTTCAAAATTTATTTATTTATCATATTTATGATTTCCATGGTAAAGATTATATATTTTTTAAAAACTAGGATAAAATTATATTTTAAAAATATGTTTATTACAAAGCTCGCATTTCTAAAATATGCCGGCTGCCCCATAGAAACTGTCTATATATATATATATAAACTATTTTGATACCAAATTACATTTTTTTATTTTTTATTTTTTATTTTTTTTATAAACTATTTTGACATCATATTTTGGATGTCCATTCCTCTATTGAACTCATACTAGCAAAAAATATAAAAAAATAATTTCAATAAAATAAAATGACCAAAATACCCTTGAAAGCTTCAAGGGATATTTTGGTCATATATTTTATGGAAAAATTATTTTTAATATTTTTAATACATGCTGCCAATGAGAAGATGACACGTACCAAATTCATATTATACAATTTGTATAAAAAAACTAAAAATAAAATGCTTTGAGACGCCAGATCTAAAAATCAAAACG